TATTAATTCCTCTCATTAATTCAATTTATCTAATGGTGATCAAGTTATACTGGTCTTTTCACTAAAATTTCTCTCAATTTCCATTCCTACTCTTACTGTTTCAGTTCGTATTTTCAGACTTTAACAGTACACTTGTTAATCTGTCAAGCAAATTTATAAGTAGCTAGAACAAGGATGAACCTTATTCTGGGAATTAAAACATAGAAACAAAAATCTACAATTTCAGGGGGCCCCTGGCAGTGCGAGGGGTTAAGTGTCAGCCCTATGAAGCTGCTGGCAGCCATAGCAGCACAAGTTTGACCCCCAGCCAGGGAGCTGACCCACAAAGCACGGCAGACCTTTCCTGTCTCACCCGCTGCTCTCCTCAGCAGTGTATTTCAGTCTATTTGCTTGTTTTGCTCCCCGCTTTGTCTCTGATGAATCCTCTCACCACCTCACACCTCTGGCCTACACCCCAGCTCTTGCATGCATAAATAAATAAATATTTTAAAAAGAAATCAACCTTTCATAAACATGGAAAAGTCCAGAATATATAAATCAGAAATTATACTACAGAATGATTCAGCACACCATCAGAAGAATGCACAAGTATACCAAGGGACCACCGAGGAAAAGACTATTTCTACTACTTCATCTTAAAACACTTAGGACATATTTTGTGTCCCCAAAAAACTATGATCATATTCCTATTGGAATCCACAACACACTGTATTTTTCAGGCATCCACAGACATCACAATTTAACATGTCTCAAACAGACTTCATAACTCCTCACCTGCACCTTGGCTCCACCATCATGTTCCTTCCCAGTTTTCCCTGGGTCAAATGGCACCATCTTTTGTACAATGCCCAAAGTCAAAAACCAAGGAATTGTCTTTGATTTTTTTTTTCTTTTCCTGACTCCCGTCACGAATTCATCAAGAAGTCCTGTTGGTTCTACCTCCAAAATATTACCAATCCATGCAACTCTAAACTTTTATTACCACCTCCCTGTACAAGTCACCATTATCTTCCCCCTACTACTTACTGCAACATTGTTGTAAGTGAGCTTCACATTTCCACTTTTGCTCTTTACAACCTATTGTCCAAACTTAAATCAAGAACAATTACTGTAAAATAATGGGATCCTGTTCAAATGTCTCCAATGGACAGTTAAAATAAAATCTAAAATTTTTAGTCTTAAATGACTTGTTCCCTGCCTTTACCTCCCTAAACAGACTTAACACTACTCTTTTTTTTCAGTCACCAGTTTTATTGTTTTTTTCTGTCCTCTATTATACCAATCTCATTTCACTTCAGAACCTTGTCCTTTCTTACTCTTTGTCAGGAACACTTACATAGCTGACTCCCTACCCTCTGCTCTTAGGCTCAAATGTCAAAGGGAAGTCTTCTCTGATCTCTTACCTAAAGTAGCCTCTATCCTAGTCACGCTCTCATTAGGTTATTTTCACTACTTGAAATCACATCATTTATTTCTTCACTTGTTTATTGTCTGTCTCCCCCTACTAGAATTTAAATAAGAAATGTAATACCTTGAAAGGTGCCCAGTACAGAGCTAGTACTCAATAAAGCATTTTCAAAATAATGAATTTTGATGTTTTGAACAAATTAATTGTTCAATAGCTGGGATTTGGAATGGAATCAAGTTTGGAGAGGAATAATAAAAACAAATAGTATTTTAAAAAAATAATATTAAAGAAAAGGAAACAGAAAATATAAACCTCTCCTTAAGGAAGAGAGAGAGGGCAAAAGTTGGAAAAGCAAAGCTGTGGAATGGTCATTACAAAAGGAGGAAAACTTGTTTCTGCATTCTCTTTATCTCAAGGTCCCTTTTAAGAATTAACCTAAGGCCCTCCCTGGTGGCGCAGAGGTTTAAAGCACAGCACTAAGAAGCTTGAGCCATTTCCATATGAGTTCGATTGATCCCGCCTCTCCTGACCCGCCTGCTGCTCCCCTCAGCAGTGTACTTCGTCATCATCATAGATCTACCTGTACTGCTCCCCACTCTGTCTCTGGTGAATCCTCTCACCCTCCGCATCTTTGGCCCGTACCCCAGTTCTATATGAATAAATAAATAAATCTTTTAAAAAAATTAACCTAAAAGCCCTAGGTACTCTCCACAGGAAAATGCAAACACACACCAACTTCACAGTTTCAGGAGGTTCAAGAACTCCCTTATGTTCTTGTACTCCAGAGTAAAAAGCCCTACCGAATAAACACAAATTCCTAAAAAGTGAGTTAATGTTAACTGATGGAGTGAAGAAGAACCATGAAGTAATAAGTAGTCCAGGATGTGCACTGTCCTCCAGCAAGAGAAAAGGAAGGTTAGCTGATGATTTAATTAAGAATAGATAGATATTTCAAGTTGAGCATAATACCAGGCATATCAGGCACAATAAATGTCTACTGAATATTTTGATAGAATAACTGAAAATACTGAAGCACTTTACCTGGGATTCTGAAATCTGGCTTTACAAAAGACCAACTTGTTTTCCTTTTATAAAATTGTTTCCAAAAGTTTAGATTTTGAAGTAGGAAGGAATAGCTTCACTAACAGAAGGATGTAATAAATCACACAAAAACTTATGAATGATTTTATGATAGATTTTTTATTGATAATATAAAGAAATTAATGTTTCAGAAATTCCCTTCATCAAAAAGTAAATCACCAAATTTAACATTTCTTATGAAAAAAAGTAATCTCTCCAATCATCCCATCCAAATCCATGTTCTTCCCTTCACTATAATCCAGATGCTTTTGTAATTAAAGAACTTGTCTTTTTGAAAGACAAGAAATAACTTGCTTTTTAAAAACAGTGGTTATAGGAGAGGTAGTATTTATCATTATCAAGACCTATAGGAAACATTAAAGGTTAAACAGTTTTCAAGAGATTTTCTGAAGTAAAAGAATTTAGTGATAATATACATTGATGTAATTAGAATATTAGACAAATACAACTATCTTACTAACTCATTTGAAAAGATGGGGTACATGTATAAGAAAGTTCTTATCAGTGTTGTTCATAATTAGCAAAACTGTAAAACCTTAATGTCCACCAAGGGTAGAATAGATAAGCTGTGTAACACAAATCAACAAACTACAAGCAACAGGGATAAATTCAGAAAACATAACACTGAGTAAAGAAGCAAACTGCAAAGGAATACTTAGTAAAGAATCATTTATATAAAGTCCAAAACCAAATTTGAATGTGCATGTTCACATACAAAGATGGTGAAACTCTAAGGAAAGCAAGAAAGTGATTATTATACAAATGAGGATAGTGGCTGCCTCTGGAGAAAAGTAGAGGTGTGCCGATGGGCAAAGGAAATAAATAATTACGCCTTCTTTACTCCTCCTCTATATGGAGGGCTTTAAAAGCAAATTATCTTAAAAACTGAATCATACTACTGAAACACAAAGAACGCCCAAAGAATCTCTACATTTGGTTATATACTGGGCTGCAGTAATGAATTTTATCAGATGGTAACCATAATAAGATATATTTTGAAAGCTGCCATTAAATAAGGTCTTAACCAGCTTGTTGTTTAAAACAAATATTTCATCAATGTACTTTCTAGTTTTGCACGAAACAACAATTTATTGATCAACAAAAATAAAAACACAAATCCGTTTTATCCTCCAGACACAATTAAAAGACGTGACACTCTCATACCTAACATACTTTAGTCCAAGTTATAAACCAATTGTTATTCTATTTGTTTCCTTACAATAAAAAAAAAGTATATTTGAAAAGCTGAAAAACTGTAGAGAACATTTAAAACAACGAATACACTGGGATATCTGGGTCTGGAGGACAACACTGGGACGCTATCACCTATGGGACGCTATCACCTATGCAACTTTTCCAGAAGCCGCGATGCTAGACTGTTTAAAATGTATATGTATACATATTCTTGTGAGTGTTTAGAGATCAGATCCAGGCTAACCTCACAGTTACTACATTTAAGTCTCAAATTTTTTTTTTTAAACAAAAGTCAGCTTACCCTACCTTTCCTGTGTATAATTTCTACCGAATTTATAAGAGATTTTCGTGCAAATGCCTATGTAACTCTCGGCTCTTTACTTTCCAAAGTTTATACAAAGAGATTTAAAAGTGAGTGTTTCGAGTAAGTAAAAGCCAGGATGAACCCCCAAATCTCTGCCTTCCAAATTCCTCAGCTCCACTCCAGAGCGTTTCTAAACAGAACAGTCCCCCCCCCCCCCAAACAACCAGCGGAGAGGCGCGGCAGGAAGCGAAGCGGTCACCATAGGAACTGGGATTCACCTTTAGCTCCCAAGAAACAAGGGCAAAGTTTGCCGGACCATCACTCTGCCTGCTACAGCCCCTCACTGCGGCTCAAGCAGTGACTACCCACCTGCGGGATCATCCAGAATACCCCACCTCCGCCAAACCGACCCTTGCAGACGCCTTCTAGGAGGCCTTTCGCTCAGGACCTGCTTTACTGTAAGCACGAGCATCCCCCCGCTGCTTCTACCTGGAGCTCCAGGTCCCTCCCTGAGTATCGTGGCCCGTGGTCCTCCCCGGAGCTCATTCTGGCGACTACTGGGCCACAGCCTCCACCAGGGATCCAAGCCCCTCCGCGTCTCCATCCTCCGCCCCTTTCCCCTCCCTTCCCACCCACAAATAGCCCTGGCCCCGCCCCGATGGAGGCCGAGGAAGGCGGGAACGGGAGGGAAGAAGGCTGGGGCGGTTAGCGCCGCCCTCGGCCCCGCCCTCACGCTCTGTACCTGAGGGGGGCTCGTCCTCCACCTCCTCGGCGCCTTCGCTTCGCTTCCGTCCCGCGCGCCCCTAGTGCTCGTGCGCACGCGTACCTGGCTCGACCCTCTCTCGCGCGGGGACTACAAGTCGTGCGCGCGCACCCACGCACGTAAAGTCGCGTACATCCACCAGCCCGCCTTACAGGGCACTTAAGAGAGGGCTCTTCCTGGTCCATCCGCGCTGCGCAGGCGCACGCCCACTCAGCGTCCGGACGCCCCACCCGAGCGTTCCGTCTCTTAGTAACCAGTCACTAGCCACCTGGCCCACCACTTCTGACTTCTGGCGAGCAGCTGCCGCACCTGGATGGAACACGCATGCGCAGAGCTGTAGCTCTTGCCTCAGTCCTTCTTCTGCTAACACCTGCTGCTTCGCTGCCCCGGCTTTGCGTCATTTTTCCCAAGGATCGGGCACAATTCTGGACCTACGTACAGTGAACCGGTTGCTCCCCAGAACGGCGCTCTGGCGCTCGGAGGTCCTTGTGCTCTCCTGCCACAGCGCAGAGCCAGTTTGAGGGGCTGCCTTCTGCTGCTGCATCCTCTCTCGGTGAGAGCCTGCCTGGCCTGTTTTGGTGAACCCTGGCAGCCTGCAGTCCGTGGACTCTAAGCTCATTTCAGTCCTGCACGATTCAGTCAGAGTTGAATCGGGAAATATCAGATTGCGGACCTATTTTCTCCATATGGCAGTTCTCCGAATTCCCTTTCCCTTAAAATTTGGTAATAATTAACAAAAGAGAAGGTATTGTATGATTGTTTTCCTCCTTAATACCACTTCACTTGTCCTCTAGAAACATTAGAAACATTAAGTCTGAGAACATTTATTTAACTTAACTAAGTGCACTGTTATTTTGGGTCATCCAATTATGTTAAAATTAACTACATTGACTAAAAATACAAAAATGAGCTTTTTAGGGTAAAAGAATTAGAATTACATTATTTGGACAAGTTTTTGGAGCCCACCTTGGAAAGAAATGCCTTTTTAACATTTCTTAGCGTTTAACATGGCCCACCCTTCTTAAATAATCCAAGAGCTTCTGCGATTTAATGGTGACTTTATCTCCCTGTCTTTTTCTACCTAGGTTTTTGTAACTGTTCTCTGACGATCGTCAAATACTGTACACCTGTGCACTTCAAAAGTAGTCTCTCACTTGAAGATACTGTTTTGCCAGGTAAGTACTCATTTTTTCCCACAATGTATTACCAGCAAGCATAAACATATTTTATGTACTTTATAAAAGTACAGTTAAATATAGTGCCTTATGTTTTTCCAACCTCTGTTCTGATTTTTTTCATCATTATTTGTGTCATTACATTTTCTTACATTTTGTAGCAGTTATTTTCAGATATATAATTTATAAGTAAGTACAGCTACATATTAAATATTACTTTGAGTATCCTAGTTATTTGATATAAAGTGGTCAGAGGTCTAAGAGATACATTTCCTCTGAAATAAAATTATATTTGCTAAAATAAGTTACAAAGAAGGCCCTCCCTGGTGGCGCAGCAGGTTAAAGCACAGTACTGAGAATCTGAAGCCACTTCCACATGAGTTCGATTCCCGCCTGCAGCCTGCCCCGGAGGAGACCACATGGCGAGCCAGACCTCTCCTGACCCGCCCGCTGCTCCCCTCAGCAGTGTACTTCGTAGATCTGCCTGTTCTGCTCCCCACTCTGTCTCTGGTGAAGCCTCTCACCGCCCCTGAGCCTCTGGCCTGTACCCCAGTTCTGTATGCACAAATAAATAAATAAATCTTAAAAAAAAAAATAAAAAAAAAATAAGTTACAAAGAAGTAGGAGTTCTCAAAGACTATTCTGAAATAGTTAGGGAAATAATATATATACTTGTTAACTCCTCTGATACAAGATTATTTTCAGTGAAAGATTCTCATTATCTAACATTATTAAAAGAAAATAGGGAAATGTAGAATTGGACTTTTACTGTGAAATAAAAGGTAATGAGTGTGTTGAATAGAGAATTGATGTGATCTGCCTTATGCTTTATAAGACAGATTCCAGATACTGTTTGAGGAACATACAATGGCAAAAGTGGAAATAGAACCAGAAGTGAAATGGAATAGCATTTAAAAATGACCCCTGTTATCCTGCATCTCCTTAATATGTAGTGCTATATACCTTTCTAAAGTTGGTGATTCTGATGGTAGAAAATTTGTTTCTCTGATTTCTGTAGTTTGAACATCTCTTTTTATGTTCATTATCTATTTGGAATCCTTTTATCTGTGAATCATGTCCTTATCTTCTTTGTCCATCTTTCTATTTGGTTTCCTCTTTCCTGTTCACTTTTAGGTATTTTACACATATATATTGTAGCTATAAATCCCTTGTCAGCTTTGGATAGCACATCTTTCACTCTCTTCTCTGTCTATTTAACTTTATAGTTTCTTTTTTGAAGAGCAGTTTTTAATTGGGAGTAGTTGAATCCATATGCTTTCCTTCTTTCTGTTTAAGTTTTTTTAGTTTTTGTTCAAGAACTCATTTTCTACTGCAAGGTTACAGTTATATTGTCTCATATTTTAAAAATAGTGTTTACAGTTCTTACTTTCACATTAGGTCATCCCTGCATGTGGAATCTACTATAGGATAGTTTATCCATCTTCATTTTCATCTACACAACAAATAGGTTAGAACGGGCTAAGTTTAGTCATATAGCATAACCAGACAAGGGAGTAGGCCTGGAGCACCCATAGTTTGGTCCCAGCCTCCCTTACAATAGGGGAAGAGAGGCTGATAGCAAATCAACCACTGTCCACTGCTCCATCTGCCAGGAGTTGGGAGAATGGACCAAGGGATCCCATTGCCAAACCAGGAAAAAGCTTTTGAGACCCTTTCTCTGTTCAGTATTTAAAAGAGGATCTTACAGACACCAGTGAGGCCAGGTAAGGAGTGGATATATATCAGCAAAAGAGGTGCTGGGATGAAGAGTCTATATAGATTTTTTTTATTATTACAAAAGTTTATTTTTACATTAGTCTATATAGATATTAAGGACTGGGGTTTGTTGACAAAGGAACTAAACTTTAATGGCTGAGAAAGCAAGGGGAGCGGACATGGCTAAAGTCTGTTTGTTGTTGTAATTGTTGGCACCAGTCAGGTGCAGCTTGGTAATTGTGCAGGACATGTGACCATCTCCAAGGTGAACATCTCAGGAAAGCTATGTACCCTCAGCTCCAGTTTGAACTGGTCTGACCTTTTCCTTCCCATAGCAGCAACTTGCTAGGCTATTGTAAACATAGCTTAATCAATGAAGGGAATTTATGGCCACAAGGGTCCAGGCCTAGAATTCTCAGGTTTTTAGCCTCTTAATTACCAGCCTGAGGAAACACAGCAAAATTCTTGCAAATTTTTGTCGTCCTTGTCTGAGGGCCCTTCCTTTCTCATAACTCTTTGTTATGTGATATCACCTTTACCATATCATATGTGAAGTTCCTACATATACCTATTAGACTGTTTTTCTTATTTTGATAGTGTAACATATTTTACTATCTGATAAGGCAAGTTTGGATTTTTTTTTTTTTTTTTTTTTGGTGTGGATTTGTGTTCATACTTACTGAGGTCTTTATTCTTCCAGATATATTCAATATTTCTTCTTGAATGACAGGCCAAAAAGATTCCAAGTAGACTTGTTATCCCTGCATCTCTTCAAGATCCCAGAGAAGTTATGGTGAAGACTCATAGGGTCAAATCTACCCTATTGAATTTGGTTCCTTTTCAACCTCTCTTTAGATGTATTTAGTAGGCTAGCTGACAATTATATACATTGCCATTATTTTGCATTTGTGGATTTTCAGTGCAGTGGATTGTGTTGTGAATTTTCTTTTTTAGTGATTCTTTTGCTTTATATTTTGAAAAGTTTTAGATATACATAAATGTACCAAGATTATTACATCAGGCATTTTTTTATCCTACCTTCCACAGCTATTTCTATTTAGCATGTTTTACTTTTCATATCTGTCACAAAATAATTTAAAAGTAAATTGTAGGTATGATTCATTACCCTTATTTCAGCAAGTATCTCCTAAGAACAGGGTATTCACTTTGGTTTTTTGTTTTTGTTTTTGTTTTTTATACTTATTTTCTTACATCATAGTTATTTGATTTCCCCCCTCAGGTGTAGTTCCTCGTTTTCCCACTATCATAGTACCTGTGATCCATCACCAAGTCCCTGGTGCTTTCTTCCCAGTTGACCTCTTTTACTCCCCTTGCCCCTGCTTTATGTCTCAGTCCTATGGGGTGAGCTTGCAAGTTCTGTTTTTCTTCTGATATATTGGTTGGGTTCTTTATATTCCACATATAAGTGAAACTACCTGATATTTATCTCTTCCCTTCTGGCTTATTTCATTTAGCCTAATCCCTTCCAGCTCCATTCATTTTACTGTAAATAGACTAAGTTTATCTTTATTGATTGCTGAGTAGTATTTCATTGTGTATACATCCCATATCTTCTTGATACATTCATTTGGTTTGGGGCATTTAGGCTGTTTCCATGTCTTGACTATTATAAATAATGCTGCAGTAAACATAGGAGTGCAGGTTTCCTTTCAAATTAGTGTTTTTGGGTCCTTTGGGTAGATTCCTAGGAATGGAATTGTTGAGTCTAATGGTATGTAGATTTCTAGTTTTGTTTTGTTTTTAAAGATTTATTTATTTATGCATACAGAATTAGGGTACAGGCAGAGGGGTGGAGATGGGGGATAAGAGGATTCATACAAGACAGAGTGGGGAACAGAACAGGGATTTACTGAAATACACTGTTGAAGGAAGCAGTGGGTAGTTCAGGAGAGGTCTGTCACACCATGTGGGTCAGCTGCATGACTGGGGATTGAACTTGTTCTGCAGTGGCTGTGGATAGCTTCACAGTGCTGCACTTTAACCTATTGTAACCTATCAGGGCCTGATTTTTAGTGTTTTGAGGGACCTCCAGACATCTTTCCATAGTGACTGGACCAATTTACATTCATACCAGCAGTGTAAGAAGATTCCTTTTTCATCAAATCCTCACCAGCAATTGTTGTTTCTGGTCTTTTTAGTATTGGTTATTTTCATTGGTGTGAGGTGGTATCTCATTGTGGTTTTGATTTGCATTTCCCTGATAATAAGTGATATTGAACATTTTTTCATATGCTTGTAGGCCATTGCATTTCTTCTTTAGAGAAGCATCTTTTTAGCTCTTCTACCCATTTTTTGATTGGGTTGTTTGCTTTGTTTTTGTTGATTTGTGTAAGCTTTTGTAGATCTTTGATATTAGTCCCTTATCCTTTGTATGGTGTGCAATTATATCCTTCCACTCAGTGGAATGTTGTTTTTTTGTTTGTTTGTTTGTTTTGGTCACTGTCTCTTTTGCTGTACAGAAACTTTTTAGTTTGATGTAGTGCCAACTGTTCATAGTTTCATTTGTTTTCCTTCTTTCTGGAATGAGTCCTCAAAGATGTGTCTGAACTATATGTCATGTTTTGCCTATGTATTTTTTTTTAAAGATTTATTTATTTGTACATACAGAACTGGGGTACAGGCCAGAGGCTCAGGGGCAGTGAGAGGCTTCACCAGAGACAGAGTGGGGAGCAGAACAGGCAGATCTACGAAGTACACTGCTGAGGGGAGCAGCGGGCGGGCCAGGAGGAGCCTGCCATGCCATGTGGTCACCTCTGGGGCAGGCGGGAATCGAACTCATGCAGAAGCGGCTTTAGCTTCCCAGTGCAGTGCTTCAACCAGCTGCGCCCCAGGGAGGGCCAACCTATGTATTGTTTTTGAAAGAGTTTTTGTAGGATTGGCATTAGTTCATCTTTGAATGTTTGGTAGAACTCATTTGTGAAACCATCTTGTTCTAGGCTTTGGTTTTTTGGAAGTATTTTGATTACTGTTTAAATTTCACTGCCTATAATTGGTTTATCTAAGTTTTTTCTTCTTTGTTCATCCTTAGGTGATTGTATGGTTCTAAGAATTTGTCCCTCATCTAGATTGTTAAAACTTGTTTGCATATAATTGTTCATAGTAGCCTTTAATTGTCCTCTGGATTTCTGCTGTGTCTATTGTAATTTCTCCTTAGTCATTTAGGATCCTATTTATTAGAGTTTTCTCTTTTTCATTTTGAGTCTAGCTAGGGGTTTGTCTATTTTGTTTACTTTTTCAAAGAACCAACTTTTGGTTGCATTGACCTTTTGAGCTATCTTTTGTATTTCTATTTTATTTCTGCTTTAATTTTTATTATTTTCTTTTTTTTACTGGCTTTGGGGTTTTTTTTGTTGTTGTTGTTCTTTTCCTAGTTCCTTGAAATGGGCGATTAGATTGTTTCTTTGGGTTGTTTCTTGTACTTAATGTAGACTTGTATTGCTATATGCTTTCCTCTTAATACTGCTTTTGCTGTATCCCATATGTTCTGAAAGATTGTGTCCTTATCATTTGTCTCAAGGTATTTGTTTAATTTCTGCTTTTGTTTCCTCATTAATCCAATGGTCTTTTAGTGTCATGCTGCTTATTTCTCATGTAATATGGGATCTCTTTGCTTTCTTTTTGTAGTTGATTTTTAGCTTGCTACTTTTGTTGTCCAAGAAGATACTTGGTATGATTTCTTGTGACCCAACATGTGGCCAGTATTGGAGAATGATCCATGTACATTTGAGAAAAATGTGTATTTGTTTTCTATAGATATCTGTTAGGGCCATGTGATCCGTATCTTTGTTTAAGACTATTGTGTCTTTGTTTATTTTCTGTCTTGTTGATCATCCATTGGTGAGAATGGGATATTGAAGTTTCCTACATAAGTGTATTTTCTCCCATGCCTCTTTTCAGAGGCAAAAGTAATTATCTAATGTGTTTTGGTTCTCCTTTATTTGGTAAGTATATATTGATAAATGTTATATCTTCCTGATATACTTTCCCCTTGACCACTATAGAGTTAGATAGTGTCCATCCATGTCTCTTCTTCTTCACTTGCTAGAAGTCTGTTTTATCCTGCCCGGCCTTCTTTTGGGTAAAAGACCAACAGAGTATTTGTTGGTACTCCAGCCTTTTATAATTATATTTTTAATTAAAAATTAAAAGTTTTTGATAAAAAAGAGTAGTAGAAAGGACTAAGTAGAGAAACTATTTTCTCAAAGATGATGGAACATAAAATCTGGTAAATTCCTTTAAAAAAAGATTGTCAACAAATCTGTGCAACATGCAAACCCTCCAACAAAAAATATATATATAAATACTGAAAGAATCAATTTTACTTTATATTTGTGGTATCTGAATCATAAAATTTCATTTAAAACATACATTGCAATGAAGTTAGTTGTTGAAATTCCTGCTGTATTCACTTGTTAACATTTTTTTACCCCAAGCTGTCAAGTTGAAGAAATACTTCCACTACATAAAGCAGTTCCTGAAAACCATCTTGATATTTGTTCAGCTGACCCAATGGGATTTTCTCTTAGTAAATCTGCTACTCAGGTATCTGCTATGCATATAGATTCAAAAGCAGATGATCATTTAATCCAAGGAACGGAGAAAAGCAAGTTGGAACCAGTGACTCAGTTATTTCAAAACACAAAGAAAATAAGACTAGAAGACACAAGCCAAGAGATCTTTACAAAGAATAAAGAGACTGGCATAAGAGCTCTTTCAGAGGAAGCCTTAGGTGCAGTAGTATATGTTAAAGAATCTGATGGAATAGAAATGACAGATGTGGAATGAAGTCATTTGTACCTATTGTCAGAGAAACCAAAAATTTGCTTTTGACTAAATCGTGCGTGGAGTGAGAACTTAACCTTAATAAGAAAAAGAAAACCTAACAAATGAAGGAAAAGAATTCCTTATTTTTCACTATTTTTGAATCACCTTTCACTGTTTTGTTTTATGATAAATACTCTAAAGTTGCTTTAGGAAGAAAAAAATTTTACAAAATTCAAAGCATATTTGTCTGGTATTACATTCTACCACTGTCAAAAATCAGAGTTTTTGATTAACAGTATTTAAATAGCACCATAACATTTTAATCATAATGCATTTATTTAACAAGTGATAAAAACCAAACATAAGCTGTGCCCAAACAATTTGAGATCAGTATTTCACAATTTGAGATCAGTATTTCTAGTGTACCAATTTTGTGATTTTGTATGTTATGTTTCTAATTTGGGATTTTGCTTCAGGGTGCTGTAAAAGATCTGTGGTAATCTCCATTTTTGTTCTTTAAGTGATCTGTGATAATCTCTGCAAAAATCCAGTAAATTGTGTACTTTCTGAACCATTTCACATTTTGTTTTCCTTTGAAAACCTTCCCCATACCCCACACTTTGAATTCATTGTAGTTTGAAATATTCATTTCCAAGTATAATGGTTTATCTTGCAAGTGCTATCATTTTTTTTTTTAAAGATTTTATTTATTTATTCGTACAGAACTGGGGTACAGGCCAGAGATGCGGAGGGTGAGAGGATTCACCAGAGACAAAGCGGGGAGCAGAACAGGCAGATCGACGAAGTACACTGCCGGGGGGAGCAGCGGGCGGGTCAGGAGAGGTCTGC